AAATTCTAAATAAACAAAAGATCCTCGATGAGTTGCGGGTAGTCATCAGTTTATTAATTAATAGACTGAATTACTTAAACTATGATATAGTTACACTGCACTTGATATTAGAGTGTGGAGTCCATGCAAGTTATTTACTGAACCATTGGTATTTTTGCTAAGAATTATATTGAATTCTACACCTTATTATGAAAAAGGTTAAAGCTATACTCACAGACAACTTTTTAACCAATCCTATGTTTGTGCTGTCATAGGTTACTTCTTTCTCACAAAAAGCCACGAGAAAGTAGCTTTTTTCCTAAAAATTATTCCATCAAAAGTAACTTTTTGTGTGAAATAAGAAGAAAGACAAATATTCGAACTTTGAATTTAGTTCTAAAGTTATTTATTCTTTTCTATTTGACCCTTTCAAAAACTTATTATATATCTTCTCCTTTTGAGAAAATGTTGTATGAAAGTTTTAGTTTCTTATGGATTTGAATTTTTTTATCATTTTTATGATTGGTCTTGAAGTTCAAATACGGAGTACATTTTTAGTTTTTGTAAATATAAAATCTTAAAAAAAAAATCTTTGTCGAACAAATTCTTTTCATTTTTACTATCATATATGATCTCGCTTACGCTTACATAATTCTGCAGATTTAAACTTTGATTTCGGATTTTATACTAAGGGACCTTAGTCCCACTACTTTTGGACATACGAAATTGTCACTCGTTAGAGTTATACGGCTAACTGACGAGAAACACACAATTATGACGAAATTGTCACTCGTTATAGTTTCAAATTATTCATACTTTATTCTTACTTGATTAATTTAATATCAATCACATAAACTCACTTTTATTAATAAATGCATCACCTCTTCATGTCTCAATGTTAGAAAGACGGAGGTAGTATCAAATATGACATGAGAAGGAACAAAGATAGTTAATAGATGAATGGTGTTTGGTTGCAGTCTATTAGTGACCTTAAAACTAAGTTAAAATTAGGATTTGATCATCATCATCACCCCAATGCTGCAAAGGCTCCCACCTACAGTGTGATAGGGGTGTCGGATACTCGGATGTACGCAAACTTACTCGTATACTAAAGAGAGATTGTTTCTGAAATAGTCATAGTGAATATCGCGTCAAAATTGCATGGATTGACTATTTCTTAATAACAATGATTTCTTCATAACAACGAAGTGTAGATAGTTTAGTGAGCCATTTTGCTTTACTCCATCATATTCTCAAACAAAAAAATAGTTAGTCTTTTCCTCCATTGCAAATGATGGAAAAACTATTCGCATAAAATCAAACACAACTATAAATTATTGGCATAAAAACTAAAAAATTAGAGGGGCTTAAAATAGAAAGGCACAAAAAGTATATTTAAGCCAAACTTGAGTCACATAATTGCAAATCACATATTGAGAGCCCGTTTGGTAGCACCAAAATCGGCTGTTTTCACTGATTCTGCTGAACTTTATAAAATTCTAGCTGAAGTGACTGCATTGGCTGAATAAAGAAAAAATTACGAGCCCGTTTGGAGACCTCTTTTTTCGGCTTATCAGGCTTATCAGCCAGCTTTTTCACCAAACACGTAACTTTTACTTTTGTGTGTTGAATTGTGTAATAAGCAGAAAAAGTAAGATTGGAGTTACTTTTCTGGCTGTATTGGCTGAAGTTACTGTAGAGGACTATTTTAGCTATTTTTACATGTAATTTTTTCTATAATTTATTAATAAAATATATTTTTAAAATATTTATTTCTTGAATCAGCAGAATCAGCCAAAACAGCCACTTCAGCCAGAATTTCATAAATTTCAGCAGAATCAGCCAAAACAGCCGATTTTCGTGTTACCAAACGGGCTCTACATGTAAAAATAGCTAAAATGGTCATCTACAGTAACTTCAGCCAATACAGCTAGAAAAGTAACTCCTACTTTACTTTTTCTGCTTATTACACAATTCAGCGCACGAAAGCAAAAGTTACGTGTTTGGTGAAAAAGTTGGCTGATAAGCCTGATAAGCCGAAAACAGTGTTGTCAAACGGCCTCTGAATCAGCTTATCGAATAAGTACAAACATACTTAGAGCCTGTTTGGAGACCTCTTTTTTCGGCTTATCAGGCTTATCAACAAGCTTTTTCACCAAACACGTAACTTTTACTTTTGTGTGCTGAATTGTGTAATAAGCAGAAAAAGTAAGGTTGGAGTTACTTTTCTGGCTGTATTGGCTGAAGTTACTGTAGAGGACTATTTTAGCTATTTTTACATGTAATTTTTTCTATAATTTATTAATAACATATATTTTTAAAATATTTTTTTCTTGAATCAGCAGAATCAGCCAAAACAGCCAATTCAGCCAGAATTTCATAAATTTCAACAGAATCAGCCAAAACAGGCGATTTTCGTGCTACCAAACGGGCTCTTAATAAGCTAAACAGATTGAACCCCGTTTTTATTTTGAAAGTATATTTTGTTAACTAATACGATAGTATAATAATTAATATTTACCAAATGTATATTAGAAACGTAGGGGCTACAAGCTTTTAGTTTAAACGAACTTTTCAACTACTTGTCTCAGCTAGTTTGGCTTATTGTGTCAACCATGGTCCATGGCTAAAATCTCATTTCAACTGCTAAGTGTTAACAACCATTGCTCTAGTTAGTGTCTCTAATTTTTTTTTTTGAAAGGTCCCTAAATCCTAATTGAAAGAAGACATACTTTTTTTTCCTTCTCATGTAAACTTTTAATAAAATTGTTTCACGTTCGTAAGTCGTAACACCCAGGGGCGGAGGTAGAGGGGGGCCGATCGGGCTCCGGTCCACCCCAAATTTAAAATTCCTTTGTATTTTTAGTGTAAAAATATGTGTAAAATTTATGTGAAAAAGTTCTTTATACCGGCCAATCCCAAGTTTCGATCTTGGCTAAGCATCCATTACCGGCATTACTAGATTATTGTTCTTAAAACTCAATGATTTAATATTACTGATATGCTGTAAAGTTTCCACTTTTGAACCAACAACCTCATCCTCAATATATAGGTGTTTTTGGACTGCATAAAAAATCAGAGTTTATCTTTTCAAAAAAAATATCAGAGTTTATGTTCGTTTTGTTGTTCAATGCTTTCTGAAGTCTATCATTTCAAGATAATGTGTAGTTCTCTAACAATGTATGGTTCATTTCTATTTTTAGGAGAAATATGGACTCTCCCCAAAGATGTGTCATAATGTTCATCGCATCCATTTTAACACTGTTTTTGTCTAGTGTATTTAGAGATATAAAAAGAGTTGGAAATTCATAGAGTAATATTGACCACACAATAGTACTATATGAAACAAAGTTAACACTATATTCTTTTTCCCCATAGTTTTACTATATGAAATAAAGCATAGTTTTATAAGAGTGCCCAAAAGATCTCTCTGTCTTATAAATAACTTTTTTCGTTATGGAAATCAAAACTTCATTGACAAGGAAAGTTGGACCTATGGGGGTTTGTTCATTTCTTAATTAAAGCTTGTTTTGTGCCCCATTTATATATATGTACGTATGGTGAATATGATCAACACATAAATAAATGTTAAATGCATGCAGTCAGAGGACATCGGGAGGACATCCGACGAGTCCCAGCAGTGGCGGTGGCGTGTCAGCTATAGGCTTCTATCATCAGCAAATTTTTGCCCTTTTCATCACCATCACCATTTTAGCACTGCCAGCTTTTGAATCAATGTGGTTGCCCTAACAACGATTAGCTAACCTTAAGGTTAAAAAACTAACAAAAGAGTCATTTGTTATACTATACCTCATGAAAGAAATGCAAATTATGTAGTTTATTATGATATATTTGAACATTGAAAATAGATTATTTATACAAAAAATATAGGTTCTGCATTTATTTATTTATTTATTTATTTAAAAACAGTTAATGATTTATTGTTTCGAAAAGTAAGGATAATCATAATCATAATGTCATTCGCATTTAAAGCATTGATAAATACTTCGTATACAACTAAAACCAAAGTGACTTGCAAATTTTTTATACGTGCCAATTGTGATATAGTTGGGGCCTCGGGGTTAGGGATGGATTGGGACAGGTTGGCCCGACCGGCCCAATATTGTGCAGGTCTGACCCAGTCTGGTCAACCGGTACCGGGACAGGGACTTGGGGTCCAAACCGGGAGTATTTGGGGTAGTCATGGACCCGGGCCGGGCCGGTTCCGGTTCCGGGCCGGGCCCGGCCGGGCTTTTTTTTTGGGAAGGAAGGCCCGGGACCGGCCCGGGTAGCCACCGGGTCCGGTCCGGGCCGGGCCGGGCCTCCGGTTCGGTCAATTTTTTTTTTTTTTTGCTTTCCTAACTTTCCCCCCTCACCCCCAAACCCCTCCTAACCATCAAGCCCAACCCAGCTAACCCCAAAAAATGAAAAAAAATTAAAAAAAAAATCAATTCGGCCCAGGCCCCGGCCCGGCTGGGCCGGTTCGCCAAATACAAGGCCCGAGTCCGGACCCGCCCCCCCACCGGGCCTAGGCCCGACCCGGACCCGGACCCGGACCCGAGAACCGGGCCGGTTCCGGGCCCGCACAGTGGCGGGCCGGGCCGGTCCCGGGTCGGGCGGCCCGAACCGGGTCCATGCCTAATTTGGGGCAGGCTACGGGCTGCGGAAAAAGCTGACTGGCCCGGCCAGTGCGAGACTGGTCCGGGCCCAATTTTTTCCCATCGATTGGCTGCTAGGTGGATGGAGCTGGGTGGTTTGGGATAAGAGGGTGGGGGTAATTGGCTGGTCCTTAGGAATGCTTTATCTCTTTTACTCTTTTTCAAAAAGCAATCTCTCTTTCTCTCAAATCTCCATTTATAAGGGCTTGTTTGCAATCACTTAAGAAAAGTGATTTTGCCTTTTTTTTAAAGAAAAAAGTATTTATTTTATCAAACACTACCAACTTTTACTTTATCGGCTTTCGTGTAAAATCTACTTTTTACTTTTTCTATTACACAAAAAGCACTTATTTTACCAAACACTATCAACTTTCACTACTAATCACTTTTTCCCAAAAAGTGGTTTTATTTAAACACAAGTGGTTGCAAACCAGGCCTAAATGTGGTTTTACATGACCATACACTTTCACTAAAGTCAAACTAATCATTCACATTCTAGAGTCTCACTGGCTCTCCGTAAATAAATCAAAACGACTTGAAAATATGACCCTCTCGGTTTCATTGACAACAGATAGGGGTGGATACAATACTGACATTTCCTAGAACTGGGGGCGAGTTTACCATCCTGGCTTCGGGCTGCCGAAATTGGAAACCGGCCTGTCTGGTCCCATTTGATTTTCTTCATTCCGTCCACTAGGAAGTACTGTAGATGAAAAGGAGTGGAGGTCCATAAGAAGGGTGGAGAGGGGTTTTTTAAAGTTATAATTCAGGACTGGAGTAGAATAGGTCAGTTGACTGGACCTAGAACCGGAATTATAGATCCCTGTTCCTATAAAGCATTCCTAAGGACCAGCCGGTTAGGGGATTAGAACCAGATTGGTCCAACCCTATCAACAGATATTCTTAGGATCGTCAAAGTAAATAACAAAACCAACATAAAATTACCAAGGATGAAAAAACCAAATAAATAACTTGCGACAACCTAAAATAGAAAACACTGTATATGGGAGTAGACTAAAAACATATCTAAGCTTTATATGTCACACGGGTAACTCTGGTTATTGTGTGGCTGCTTTGAGGCTCAGATTTCTTTCGGCTGAAATCCAACATTACACTTGCATCAGCTCTTGAAAGGCTGGAAGCATCAATCAGTGAACTCCGCACCACAGCGCTACTTTTGTGAACTTTGCAATAAACAGACCACTTGTGCCAGATATCAACGGATCAAATCGGATAGTTTTGGGTATCCGTCCATCCTTACAGGGCCAGTTTCTTGCACCATCAATCTCAACTAACTCTGGCCATCATCAGAAACAGAACTGTTATTGACAAATATATCCCTCTTTGACACACACACATGTGTACGTGTAAGCAAGCTTTGGGGGGGAGAGAGAGAGAGAGAGAGCTGAGCCAAAATCCACCGTTGGGGGAGTTTTGTGCTAAGGGTATTTTTGCAAATTTAAAGGAATTAATTCCACTTTTGATCTCACCATCACTAGGACATTCCTACATTTGGTCTTTTTTTTTATCTCTTATGGTCTTTAACTTTCATTTTTCACATTTGGTCCCCAATTATAGATCGTTTATTGCGTCCATGCAACTTTTCGGGCGAAAATCAAAGTGAAATTAAAGAAACTGGACAGGAATTGGCATGATAATTTGGAAGGACCATATGTGGAAAAATAAAAGTTTGGGGCCAAAAGTAGGAATGACTTTGTGGGATAAAAAGTGAAATTGATTCATTTTTAAGAAACCAAGCATTCCAGCACAGCTGGTTGTGAGGTTACCGTGCTTAGTGGGAGGTCTCGAGTTCGAAACTCACTAGGCACGTAAGGGTTCGAAACTCAATGGAGTGACTTTCAGCCCAGATTACTCCAGGCTCCCACGCCCCCTCCCCCAGACCACCCTAGAGTAAAAAAAAATCAAAAAATTCATTTTTAAGGACGGTGGGTGTTGTAAGGTGTCTGGATTTGGCTTATTTTGCAGCATTTCTGTACACATGTACGGAGGGTGACTTGGTACAACATGGATTGACAAGAAAGTGTGTACCTGCAGAAGAGTTCTCAGAAAGGAATTTATCCACTACATCTTCATTTTGTGCATCAGTTAAACTGTTTAAGAAATAACACAAAAAGATGTACTCATGAGTAACAATACTTAAGAATGGGCCCAAAGGCAACTCCATTAGTAGTACAGCATTACTCATCAAAACCTGCAAGTGCTGTATACAAGAAATCCTCCCACTTTTAGCAACTTGAACCCATTTGTTAAAAGTTTAAGCTGCAAGAAACCCAATTTGTAAAAAATATAAAACGCATGAGGAAGTATGAGCCCAAATAACCACTAAGGTGTCATTTGGTAAAGTTTTCTATTTTTGTTTTCACTTTGCTGAAAAAGGAAACTTAAGCAGAAGTGTTTTTTTTTGTTTTCAGATTTCTACAAAGAAACAAACCAAAACAACAGATTTTTGAAAAAATATTGAAATAATTATTTCTTTTTTCGTTGTTTCACATACTGTTTATGGAACACTTGGAATTCTTATAAAAGCATATATTTGGTTATATACATCACGGAGACCAAACAAATATTCTTATTTTAGAAATTTAAATACAAAATAAAAATGAAAAAATTTGAATACGGATAATATAATACACAAAACTGGAAACATTACCAAACGAATTCCTAGGAAGCACCCGTCATAAGTAAAGAAATTATTAAGCATTGTATAATGGCTATTTGTTCTTAAAAAGCAGTTTTCCGAACTTCGTTATAGCTATCAAGGGAAGGAACATCTACTCCCTCCGTCCCTAAATTATCTTCCAAAGTACATTTGGCACAGGAATTAAAGTAGTGGATATTGTGTGGTGGAGAGTTGTGCAGAGAAAAGAGAAATGTGTAAGCATGTGTAAGAAATGATGTGAACCACAAATTCTTTGTCAAAAAAGGAAATGAAAGATTATTTTGGGACGGACGTAAAAGGAAATTCGGAAGATGATTCAGGGACGGAGGGAGCAGCACTTTATTTAAGTTTTCAAACCTGAAGGATGGGCAGGTCATCAGTCCTCTCTGCATCCAATACACGGCGCTGGAGGGTTGTCCAGCCCCACTGTTCGAACTTTTGGATATGTTTGATCGAACCATCATGGGTGCACTCTGCATCCACAAGAACCTGCCTGACATAAAGACCAATCAGATAATGGTTACCACAAAGAGAATTGAAATTGCATATATAGAGCCAACTAAATTACCCAAAACGTATTTTTGGATCCCAGAAAATGATAGGAGGGGAAAATGTCAAGAACAATTATTTTTCTACTTTTGGCCATAGCTAGGAACATGGCGGGAGAAATGTAAAATGCTTTTCTGTACTTGCAGAAAGATTTCTCAAATCTTTCTGTAAAATAGGTGTGAAGTTATATTTGGAATACATTTATTACGCTTGAGCCCGTAGGCCCCGTACATAATTTCTATTTTCTATCCCTAGTATAGTTTGACATTCACCCAAAGGAACGATAAAGAGGGAAAGTATTACTTTGAAAATACCTTATCATAGCCAAATCCATACACATTACCACAATGCACCCTTTGATACAGTGTATTTCTTGTTAGCCCAACTACCCCAGATTTTTTCCCATAAAATAGAAGCTCTGGTTCTTGAGTTGGTGAAGAAAAATTTGAATATCCCTTTTCCCTTGCTAAAGCCTCCCTTCTCCTTTCCTTCCATGGCCTCCGGGATTTCCACTCCTTGTATACTTCTTCAATCCAGAATCAATGTCAGTGGTATAGTAATAGAACAAATAGAATATAATACTCCCCCCCCCCATTCCTTCATCTCATAAAAAGAGTCATGTAATTTTCTTTTAATGAGTCCATTTCATTATTTCATCAAATGTAGCTAGTTTTTCATGTAAATTGCCAATAATCTGCAAGAATGGTTACAAACAACTAATTGTGATACATTTAGTTAAATCAACTAAGAAATGAATAAAAAACTTTCACCTTGCAAAAATTTATAACTTAGGAGTACCTCTACAATCACAACTCTTTTTTTTTTTTGGGGGGGGGGGGAGGGAGTGAGTAACATATCAGTTAGTAATGTTTTACCCAATTGATTTTGTGATTCTGAAACCGGTATGGTTTTAACAGGGAGAAGTGAAAATGTGGTTCCATCAGCAACAAATAGACGACAACGATCACCCAATCCATACTTTAGTAGCATGCTTCTACAGGCTGCTAGGCGGTGTTTGGCAATATCTACACCGGACACAGAACCAGAGCTTCCAAGACTATCCAATATCATACATAGTTTAGCACCTAGTAGGGAGACATCAAAATTATAAATGTCACCATTAGGTTTATTAGATACCTAAATACATAATACGAAGTAGTATAATGAAAACCGAGCGGCAATGGATCACAATATGGAAATAAAAAATCCATGTTGTATCGGGAAATGTCAATTACTTAATTGTAAACTACATATTTACAATGTTACTTTAAAATTTGTACTTAAAGCTGAGATTAGGTTGGGCTGAATTAGATTAGTCCTTTAGGATGAGTCCAAATCTTCTGTAATACTTTTCCCAACATATTGTTGTGCCACTCATTCTGATTGGTTATTGTACATTACTACATCCATAAAAAAAGAGCTGTTTTTAAAGCTATTTATACCAAAAAAAATCTTGTTTGATCAAATACAACAACATCCTAGCCTTAATCCCAAAAGATTTTAGGGTTGACTAACATGAATTCATACATGATATCGGAACCAAAAGGAAAAGAAAGATAAAAAGATAAGCTATGATAAAAAAGATAATATAAAATGAGATAGGATATACATAAAATCTTGTTTGATCAAATAATGATAATTACTTGAAATTTTTGCCAAAGCAGAGTAAAAAAAACATTGTCTAACATGATGGATTTAGGTAAACTATCAAAAAAAAATCTAAAGTAGGACAGGCATCCATAACATAGTTCCCCCCTCCCGCTGTCAAGGAACTTTCTATAAAGCATAAAGTTGGTATATGCAAACCAAATTGAGCAGAACAGTTCCACACAGCTTCCTCCACCAATTTCCTATGCCAGCGCACCAATATTTCTAGCTACCCCCAATTCTATCTGCTGTGTTGTACAGCCAAAGGTCGGGCTCCTCTGGTGATTCCTCTAAAATTGGAAGGGGCCACACAGTGTTAGATGGCGGTCCCTGATGTGGTTTCTCGAGACAAACATGAGAGATGTCAGGGCCTCATGGCTGTGACAGTGTGACTCGCTGTCTCACAGATACTCACACATGGGCAAGTATCAGAAACAGTCCATGTCACTTTGGCAGCAACTTTTGTTGACAGAGGACTAAGGATGTTTTTACTTGGACTGTAATTTGCTGGTCTGGTCTAATCTGGTCTGGTTTCTTTGTATTTTTATAACTATCCAAGTCTGGTCTGATCTGGGATGAATTACAGTCCAAGTAAAAGCATCCCAAGTTGAACTCGCAGCTAAGTCAAAGTGTCAAACTCATGCTTTGAGCTCAAATGAAAAATTGTCTACTGTCCATGTCAAATGCTGCTGCTGAGCTTGGACAAAACAGGCTCATCTGTGGACAGTGGACACAATCTCATTCCATTCAAGAAGCTTGTGTTCAACACCTAATTTGGCAGCCCTCAGCATAGAGGAGATGAGCCTGGGCGGGTCATACCCATAAACCAGGCGGAAATGGATGTCTTCCAAGGCAATGTGGTTGGATGAGTTATATCAGTTTTCTCTACCCACATAAGGCTCGACGCCAACAAAACCATAAGCATGGATACTCGCTAGTGGGAAATGCAAGAGCATCTCCAAAGTGGCGACCACCCCTGTTTGACCGTCCATTTGGGGATGGTAGGCGGATGAGAATGTGGGCTTGGTTCTGGATAAAGAAAACAACTCATGTCAAAATGAACTGATTAAATTTTAACTCTGTCGGAGTTGGTGGAACCTGCAGCCCGTGAAGAAGGAAAACCACCGAAACCGAGATGACTGTATGGGTGGCCAAGAGGAATGAAATGCATGGCTTGAGATAAGTGACCTCACCGTCCCTGCTACCACCAATGCAACAGACTTTACTGGAACCTTGGGTAACCCTTCAATGAAATCCAGAGAAATATCAATCTAAAATGTGTTGGGAACTTGGGGATCACAAAAGGCTAAAGCAATCTGACAGGTAGAAGTTTAATACTTGTGTTATTGTTTGAACTGACAGTCCTGAAATGTAATTTCCCATTGAATTTTCATGTTTGACCAATAAAACTTCCCACCCCACCGTTGGTGGGAGCCTTTGCGGCACTGGGGTAATGATGGTGATGATGATGATGACCAATAAAACTTCCCAGCATATGCATTTGAGGGTTGCTTAAATAGCCTCATGTGTGATTCCAGCGAACATGTACAACAAGTAATGACGGTGAATGCGACCGCGAGATATGGTATGTGATGGAAATAAACTAATATGCTGCAAAACACCCACTCTATGTTGCATTTTCCAGCGTGGCAGCTTTTATACGATGCTGATCTTCATTATTACAGGCATCTTAGCTTGCTCCCCCCACATATCTGCCAATAGGAAGTGGAGATGAATCCTGAGTGATGCCACCGAGACAGCTGCCACATTGCGCAGGGGAGCAAGGCTTGTATCGTATTTAATGCAAAAATTGAGGCGGGCAGGCTTGTATTCAATGCGGAGAATGAACCCCATAGTCACATCAACTTAGTCATCCAATGTTGCTGTTGGAAGGTGATTCCACATTGATCCAATTAGTGCTTCAAACTCGAAAGGACAGCTCAAAGCCCCAAACTAGACATCATGCAGCCATAAATATGGTCGCCACTGCATGACAGCTTTGGTCACCATTTACATGGGGATTCACTGTGAAATGGGATGAAAGATGCCTCTCTTGCTGCAAGACAGCCCCAAAGCCACTTCCAAATGCTTCACAGCCAACAATAAATGGTTTTTAGAAGTCTGGATGCTGGGAACCATCGTTGTGGACATTTTGTTCTAGGATTTTTCTTTTACGTAGGTCATCTGTGGCACGCAGGAAGGGCTCGCGCAGCTGCAGCCTGATTTGAATAGGGAATTGATCATGATTTTGAACATGTTCTTTCCATGACCCCTCTGAATTGAGATGAGACAAGAGATATAATGATTCAAGTAGGCATCATTACGATTTAAAATAATCGGATAGAAGATTGAATATTCAATATCAATAGAATGGGGTTCTTTTTCCTTGAAATTTAGTTTCAATCTATTTTTTATGGCCTGCCTTGCCTAACAGAACTGGCTTGGCTATCCCAACTAGCCACACCAGTCCCGTTTATCCCAACAAGTAGTGTTTTTATGCATTAAATTCGACATGGCTTTCTTCAGCAATTGGATTAACGACCTGGCTAAACATTCGAATGAATTTTCAATAGTGTACCCGGTGAGATAAAAAAATGCATGGTCACCAAAGAGCCCTGCGTTGGCAAATCCATTATAGCATTAATTTTGATTGGGTCAATGAGTTGCATGTGCTACTCACTGCGGCCGGCGGAAATTCGAGTTTCTAATAACAGTAGGAAGAAGTCATCCATCTTCCGTTGGTGAAAATCGGAGGATTTTTGTGGCTACTGTCTGTTTGTCTCAGAAGACTTCTCTGCCGCAATTCACAAGTTTCTGAACCGTACTCATGAGATTCGAAACTGCTGCCTTTATCGAGGCAAAAGAGGCCTGGATGTTGGTTGGTCAAGGCGGAGTGATTGACAACTACTTGGCATAGTGTCATGTTTTCATTGAAGGACTTCATCGTTCCACGATGCTGCCAAATTAATATAAATCGTATAAGAGCCTGTCCAGGATCTCCAGGAAGTTGGAAGAGAATCACAAGACACGGCTATCACGATGGCAGATTAACTCACATCTCTCACCCTTGGCAGAGAGATGGTGATCTATTTAGTCAGAGACACAAGAATCAACACTGTAAAACCGATTTATTATTCCCAAAAAAATAACCCTTATATAGCTAATACAAGAGTACTAATTATAAAACAAAACATAGAGTAGAAAAGCTAATACAACTGCATAATAAAAGACTAGACAAAAGTAGTGAATAGAGCAAGAAACGACTATCTGCAACCGCAAATCTGTCGCGGTTGCCGGCTTTACCCATCTCAAATAAATTAATATGATATCAACCAACGAGAAGGAGTGCCATACCGTTGGAACAGGAAAAGTGGGCTATAAGATTTTAATTTCCAAGACCAGAGTAAAAGGCCCCCTCAGGCTGAAAAAATTACTATTTTACATAAAATGCACAAAAGAATTATCTTTTTTACTTAAACTTATGCATGCAGAATAGCACACCCCCTAATTATAGAATATTACTCCGTACAACATATTGTATATTTTGTTTTTGTAATTTAGGAGTAATTTTACTTAACTATGGCCTTCAAAGCATTTTTGGACACCGTTTGCAAGCTTAAAGCTAAGATAGCTACCACAAGATAAAGCTTAATAAGTGAGCTCCATGATGCGGCATCTGATAACTCAAGATGCATTTACATGGTTATTATTACAACAAGAAAAAGAACAATTACCAGGAGCAGCACAAAGATCAAGGACGTGATCTCCTGATGAGATGTCCAAAGCTAACACTGCAGCTCCAGATGCTGCATCAATTCCATATATCTGAATGTTGAGTAAATCATGTTGGAAAACATTCCATCTATACTCTTTATAACTAAAACCCCTCTTTAGACAAATCAATATTAATATAATGATCTAATACATATTAGCCAGGATATTTGCAAAAGAAATGCCCTCATAAGCCCTAAACCAAGTTGATCTAGTGAAAACTATCTTAACGGAGTGGAGTACTCACCATTCCATTTTGGTATGCCTTTGAGCTAGCTATTTTAACATGAGGTGCGAGACAATAGAAATTCGGCAACCAGAACACTTTTTGAAGTTTACAACCAATGTCGACTTCAATTGCCTCTACATCAGCCTCATTCCCTGGCTTTAACCTTCCAAAACAAACCTTGTGTAAGCTACGCCAGACACCACATTGTTCATCATCATTATATTGTATATATAGAAAGGAATGCATAGATTAATATGTTCGTGTGTATTTTGGTCCCAAATGAAAGGAAGATATCAGTTTTAAACTCCAAATCAATGTGATATGATTCTAAATATGGAGAATCTTTCATGAATAGCGCAATGAAAAAAGTGCTAAGTGATACACATACACTAATGTTTGAAACAAATTTTGCATTCACACAATAGACCTTACGCATGCAATAATGGCATATTGCACGTTTTATCTTGAACATATTGCACATTAAAATTCTGCATATTTACGACTCGAAAGTGTAATTGGAACCTATATGTGTGTGCAATATATGCTCATTCAACCTGAATAAAGATTCAACACAAATAGTTAATGTTTTGAAGACTGCAACAGAACTAGACTAACGTATAAAAAATTCATAAACAGCTTTCCTCGTTTAACAATCCAAGATGGTATTATGCTCCTTCTATTTCCATGCACCTGGACATTTTAATTTCACACTGATTTGTCCAGCTAAGAGAGCTAAGAGTCCTAACGGGATGAAACTTATTGAAGTGGGGATGAAACCCAAATAAAGATCAATGTTGAAGAAAACTCAACATTCATTTTTCAACGATATAAGAAAATAAAATAGAAAAGTTTTAGCCACACACAACTTGAAATTAAAAGAAATTAGTACAGGAACTAAACCAATCCTAGTATCATCATGTTGTTTAAGAATTACATATACCCTTATTAGTTTGTCCCCTAATTCAAATGTTGGAGTTTGTATAATAAGTCTCACACATATAAAAAGGCACACTCAGGCATTTTGTAAGAGAAGAATGGAACCTAACATAGCGAGGTATTGAATCCGAAGAGGCGTAAAGCGAAGAGTCTAAGCCATTCTGATTCAGAAAGTCGAGAAAAGCTTCCGGCAATGGAACGCTTGAGGAGTCGACCTCTACGTCCATGAACTTCCGGTGCCGGAATTTTCTCCCTAAAGGCCTCCTTTAGCGATCGTCTCTCCGCCGGCGACGACCCGAAACAATTTGTCCAACTGTCCTGCTAGTAACAAATGGGCTATGTTTGACAACTGTTGGGCCCTTTCTTTTGGTCCATTTACATACAGGGTGGGCTGAGAAAATATAACTGTCTTGTTGGGCCCAAAGGCACGACCAGTTACAGCTGAGAAATGGACTATCTTTTCTCAAAATTTGCCTACTTATCTTTAAGGGTTTTTATGGTTTTTGTTTACAATTGACCTTCATGATCAGGATTGTAATGACAACTAAAGTGAAATTACCATTATGTTTAGATTCAAATTATTTAAGATTTTGAGTTCAGCTTTAATTTTTTAGTTTATGTAAAAACAAAATTATTGTTTGTATAGTAACTGTAAGTAAAAAAAGTGAACTTACGATATACAAAAATTAATAGCAGCGAAGTGCAAAAAAAAAACTAATTAAAAAGAATGAGCAAATATATCCAAGCTATGCATAAAAGAACGAATAGATCCTTGATTTTTTTAGACAATTAAACCCAAAAGATTATATGTGAAATATATGTAGTCTTGTCTCAGAATATTGAAAGTTAATCATTTTTATTGTAAAAGGCTTGTATTAAATCAATAGGAATGTGATTACTAGGAACTAATAAAATTTGAAATAGTGTGATGTATAGTAGGAATGTGCACAGGTATTTAAAGTCAAATTTTATACTACGTATATTTCAAAATTTTGTTTAGTAGGTCGGTCTCAATCAAACACTTAACTCCATCCCCACCTATGCTCTATACGACTATACGTCAATTAAATCCATAATGACTATGAATATATTGATTATACTTGACCTTTGTCATGTGTTTATAGTTTTTACACTGAAATAAATATTATGGATTTTATATACTACATGGTATTCAGCATGGAGCTGACCCTCCTCATACTTCATAGCCTTGTTGTTGATAGTATGGACTCTCAAGTCCTTCTGACCGATTTGCTCGCAAGCTTTCATGTAGCACCTCCTCGCCATCCGCTGGTCTCCCTTGACAACTTCGACACCATTCGGAGTGGGGAATTTCATGCACAGGTGCTCCTAGGATATCACACACCGCAGGTCCTCCAGGGCCGACCTCCCCATGATGATCTTATGCGGACAAGTTAGGTGTAGGACGATGAATTCGACGTTTAACTTGGATACACCGGAGCCCAGACCCGCCGGCCAAATTCTTCAGACTGAAGGGGCGTCGCCGACCGGTGCGTGGCGTAGGACAGCCGCCTGGCACAGCAGGAGCTTACCCAGAGGAGCCGCCGGGCGACAGACGACGGTCAACCCATTCGGCTGGATGACTGCGGTACTGGGGCGACATGGAGAAGACACACGCACGCGGGGATTCCAGAGGAGAGAAAAGAAAAGAAAAGGAAAGGAAAGGAAAAACAAATCCAGAAATAATTATAATGAATTTCAAGAATTTTTGGAAGCTGACCTGGATCCTGAAGTTTGGGAGAAAGTTGATTGCTGGACCGCTAGGATGCTGAGGGAATTAATTTGAAGTCTTTTAAACTAACTTGGACTATTCCCTCTTAGCCGAGTCTACTACTCGACTAAGGGAGTGGGGGATTCGTGATGGGGTTATGAGACTAGGCCCAATGCCTAATCGGCCCAGGCCCCGAACTTGAACCAGCAGGCCCAAGCCCGGGACGATTGTCTGGTCAGGCAGGCCCAACCAGTGGACCCAGCAATCCGGATCTCAAGCCGGCCCAACTTATCAAGCCCATAAAGGAGTGGAAGTCCAACTGAGCGGGAACCTAAGATAGCCTGCCTACCGGCCCAACCGGAAGCCTGCCTATCAGCCCAACCGGAAGCTTGCCTTTCGGCCTAGCAAGGAGTCTGACTTTCAGCCTAGCCAAGAGCCTGCCTCCAGCCCTACAGGGAGCCTGCCTCGGGCCCAGCAGATAGCTCGCCTCCAGCCCAGCGAGGAGCCTGCCTTCCAGTCCAGTGCAAGCCTGCAGCCCAAAAAGCTCAAGCGTCCGGCCTGCCAGCCAGGTCGACCCGCCAGCCAACCAGGAAGAGTAACGGCCAACAATCAATGCGCTATTAATTATGTATTTAATTTCATATTAATTTTGTAATTAATTTAGCCATTATTATGTTCGGCAGTTACCATTTGTAATCGCCTATAAAAGGCAATTCGAATTCAAATGAAGACACACTACTTTTTGGCAACTAAATCCTCTGATCACTTTCCAATTTCGTACTTTTTATTTTCCTGCTTGAGTGTTCTTTCGTAGCTTTTCTAAAAGCCTACGAGCGTCCTATTTTGGACCAACATTAATAACAGTCATTTTCCATTGACAATATAACCAAATAATAATCATACACAAACTAATCATTTTACTGAATTCATAAATCATAATGAATCTTTATCCAGCACACGAAATAAAAAGTCAATGCACAAATAAAACTTAGTAGTTGTTCAGTTAATTTGATATAATTTTTTTTAATATGAATTGTTAAAGATCATGTTTGAGCTTTTATGATCTGAATCCTTTTTTTCTTGATTTGAATCTTTTTTATTGAATTTTCGTGATCGGTCATGATTGGAATGTTTTTCACTTGAATCTTTCGTATCCGGCCCAAAACCTTTTTATCTTATTTAATTGTAAATTACTAACACTACAAAAAGTTACGGGATTGACACAGATTTGACACGAATTGATCAATGATTTGGTGTCAAATAACTCGTGATGAAATGCTTTTGGCATGGATTTCGCCTCCTATCCGTGTCAAATCCTTTATAAATTTGGTGAATTAGTACCACAAATCTCTATCAATCCCATTATTTTTTATGGTGTAAGTACTAATGCTATTAATTATTATTGACTTTATTGTAGTTATATATGTAATTCAAAATTGTAATTAGAAGGCACGTGACATGTCTGAGAAATAAATAGTAATTAATCTTATGATACTTAGCTTGGAGGTGAATATTATAAAATTGAAATTTTTTGGCGAACAAATGATGATATATATATACTCCTATCCATATCGTAACATATTGAGCATTCTCTCTAAGATACGTCACCAACTCAAGCAAATGACTCTCAAATTATTGATACTCCGTTCATCCCATTTTACATGTCTTACTTTCCTTTTTGAGTTGTCCCAAAATAAACGTCTTTTTTTCTTTTTTGAAAAGAAATATGTAGCATACACCGTTTCACTTTATCATACTCAAACCTCAACTACTTCATTAATAATCATTTCAAGTCAAAGTGTGACACATAAAATGGGACGAATGTAGTATTAATTACAATAATATTTAAGTACACATATTGATTGGAAACTAGTAGTGATATTAAAACAATATATTAAAAAGTATTTGACTGCATTCATTCACAAAGAGAGACATGGACTCTTGGAGTGGAATAGATATGTATGTTGTTGTATACGCATGGTAATTAAGAAACAGATAGTCATAGGTGTTATTATAATGATATATGGCCTAATGGGCTGCACGCACGAGATTGGCACGAATGCACGATGATGAAGTGGAGTCACAACTTTTGGGTGGTGCATCCTCTTGAGTATCGGCGACCATCTCCTCCTACCGGTCAAATACAATCTTTTATTTAGAGTGTACGTACGACGAGTCGACGACCCTACATGGCTCACACATGCACGCCCATGGCCTTGAGAATTCTCATTTGAAAGGCATGTCTCACAATCACATTTCATTTGAAATAGTCACATAAAGCCATGTACTCAATAAAGTGTCATATAATTATCTCTACTTGTAAAAAACAATCAAATAGGTCCTAATGACCTATTTAACACCTCTTAATCCCGGTTTTAGCGTACTTGTGACCATCTTTTTAGAATAGATTATACGGCATACGTCGAATCATTGTTCTAAAACTCGCTAGGCGCTAGTCGGGCGGTTGAGGGGCGTCTAGCGCCTAGTCGGCCGACTAGGCCGATTTTTTGGCCGACTAGACCGATTTTTAGGCCGATTAGTCCTCTACGGTGAGGACCGACTAGGCCTACTAGGCCGATTAATCGGTCCGACTAGGCCGATTTTTAGAACAGTGCGTCGAATATTTAACTAAGATTGGTTGAAATACAAGTCAAAAATATCGACATGTAAGCTAAAACCAGGATTAGGAGGTTGTAAATAGACCGTTAGGACTCATTTGAGTCTTTTTTTTTTACAAGTAGAGGTACTTATATGACACTTTATTGAGTACATGATCTTATGTGACTATTTCATAATACTAGAAGGTCTTATTTGACCCTTTTCTCTTAATTCTAAGCAAGTATTCCAATAATCCCATTAGCTTTTTTGGTGAAAACACGGCCTTTGATCTCTCTTTTAGGATCACAAGTTCAAAGAACTCTTACACATTCATCCACACACTCGCAATACAAAGTCTTCATCTGACAATAATACTTTGTATTACACAATTAGAATGTACTACGTACAAGAGAGATCTACAAGTAAACATGTAGCACATTTCACTCTTGGTATACGAGACTACTTCACTTCCACTCTCCTTTCTCAAAGACGCTTTCACTCACTTAAGAACTCTTCTTGAGGGTCTTATATCTCATTACTCAAGGAGGCTTTAACAAGGCTCTCCATATCACTCAAGGAGGCTCTCACAAAGTTCCCAGTCAAGGCTCTCTCTCACATATGAATGAGGAGAGTCACCCCTATTTATACTACTCTCTATCTAAGACTTCTCTAGAACTTTCTATGCACCACTACATTTCTAGAGTCTTTCAAAAAGTATCCGAAAACTTCCCTAATCTTCTAGAATGATCTCTAGAAAGCTTCACATATCTTCATAATGTTCTAGAGGCTTCCACACACTTCCACACGATTCTAGAGAATCCCACACTTCTTTAGAAATTGCATAATATTCTAGAATATTATACACTCTTCCACGCGCTTCTAGATAATTCCAGATCTCTCTAGTAGGCTCCATAATATTCTAGAACATTAAATACTTCTTTACACATATCTAGAGAATTGTAGACATCTTCGCAATAATCTAGAAGTCTCATGAATTTCTCAGTCAAGGAGAAATTTTTCTTATATGAAAAGTGATTGATTCGTAATAAAGTTGGTAGTGTTTGAAAAGTTAAAACACTAAACTAAACTATAAGTAGAAGCATATATTTTTGAAAACGTTATACGGAGTATTTTGTTTTCTTTACCATCAAAAGAATTTTATCAATTCAGGACCCAAAAGATAGATGGATTATCAATCCGGAATCCGAAAAATGAAATGTATCAATATAGGACCCGAATGATGGAAAACTTTCAATCTAGGACCTGACATTTCACAGGTTTTGATTTATTTAATTTTTTTATTAATTCCATTGCTATTTTTTGATAAACTTTTCTTCACAAAAGTTTATTAGTTTAATAAAATTAAATGATATTTAAAAATTTAAAAATAATAAAATTAATAAAAATCATGACAATTTAGGTCCTAGATTGATAATTTTCAATCATTCATGTTCTAAATTGATAGTTTTCCATTATTCGGATCCTATATCGATACATTTTATTCATTCAAGTCCCGAATTGATAATTCATTTATCATTCAGATCTTGAATTGATAAAATTCCTTAATCAAAAATTAAATGCTGGTAATAATATTTTTAAATTATTACAAACACTCGTTTACATTCACTAATTTTGCCCATTGCAAATAGAATCTGAACCTCGAAAACAATATAGAGTTAGTACCCACAAGCTTTGACGCAAATCACTTCGCACAAACTTGTATGCTTTTCAATCAAAATGTATTAGACATCACAATTGGGTGACATTGATGGTCTATTTGAGGCTGGATGCATACCAGTGATAAACACCTCACAAACCATTCATCACTTGTTAACCATTTAAAAAATGAATCACCACACTCGTGAAGCACTACTATACCTTAGTTTGAGCAGGAAGAATTTTGAAGTGCTCAAATTGAGCATGTTTTCAATCTCAGACCAGACTAGATTAGACTTTTGTAGTTATAAAATACACATAGACCGGACGTTTACGACCAGACCAGTTCAGACCAGACCAGCAAATTTCAGTCCAAAAGAAAACATCTTCAATCTACTAATAAAAGTCAAAGTCGAAATTGACACATGTACAAAAAACTCAAAACTCCACTTGGAAAGCTCGGAGAGTAAAAAATTACGGAGTAAAATATTTACATTTTGATTGTGCCTACTTTTAGTATAAGTAGAGATAAGGTAACTTCATTAGCAATTCAATTTATTACGGAGTATTAATATCATCAAGCTATGCAAAAACAAGCTCATAAACTCAACTAGAAAAAAAAATTAAGAATAACTTAAATTCGAGTTAATTAATTCTTGAGTCTAAAATCTAAATACAAATCAATAACTAATCGATTAAATTTGGAAGCTATTATGTATCACTTCAATATTTCACATTAAGCAAGCTCTTTACATAAAAAGGGATGATACATTGATACCTCTTCCGTGAGGGTCTCAGAATCGACCAGACGTACGATTATCTAAGCAAGCTCCAAATTCTTGCTTGGAGCTGATCACAAGAGTCAAGACTTCTGCCTTGTTATATGCCCTAGAAGGAGGCTCTTTACATAATTAGACATTTAGACCACCAACCTTATAAATCTTCTGTCATTATCTGCAGCTTCAGCTTCAAGTTTCTTCCTTACCTCCTCCAAAACCAACATGCACTCATGCAGCAGTACATACGTGATTTGTTATTGCTCAATTACTGAGAATAACAACAATGGTGTCCAGAAAGGCAACTATGTGCTCTGAATCACCACCACCACCATCACACAATTCTGGTTAGCATTCCCAGAAGGAATTTCTTAAAACATGTTTGGTTTTGTAAGCTTTTGTACCAGAAAGCAGTTTCCTACTAGCAGAAAGAATATCCACCGAGATGTTGAAGATCAAGAAGATGAAAAGTTTCAATATGCAAGTACCCTTTGCTGGTCTTCATATTACAGCGTTTTCGTTGTTCGTCTCGCCATCATGGTAAGTCTCATTGTCTCGTCTCTTCTGTATTACGCCTTAATCCATCTCAAACCCATCACGTATAAATATACAAATCAACATATAAAACATCAAATTACAACTTCTGTGATCTATCACTTTGCCAACCAAGTTTTGAACTTTGATACAGTACCATAACAAATTCAACTAAACGAGCAA